CAAAAAGTTTCTTTTTGTTGACTTTTAAAATGACATGTAATGTTTTGGTCCATATATCTCAAATGAAGCCTTTTTAGGCCTTGAGCTTAGAGAGACCAAGTTGTAGATAATTGAATTTCCTTCAAAATGGGCTTTGGTTGAGAAATTTCTGATGAATTATGTGAAAGTTATGCCTAGTTAAAATTCAGTTGACTTCTCCTTAAGAAAACCCTAATTTAGTAACTTTTGAATTTTGATGAATCTTGAGTTTTCTTGATGAATCATGATCAACCCTTGATCAAATAATGAATTTGACTTCAAAATATTGATGTTGACCAAAAATCTTGAAGTTTGACTGTAAATTGGTCAAAGTTGACTTTTTGCCCAATATAGTTGATTTTCAATCATCTGACTAATTGACTGAGCAAACTTGTGCTACAAGGCTTGAAATTTGGTATGAGGATTCTTTGAGACATATGGGAAACCACAAAATCCACCTGAGGCATTAGAAGTCAAATTTTCCTTGATAGAAGCAAAACCCTAGTTGTAGGTCAACTGCTTAGGAGGAAAGTTTATCTGACCAACCCTTGAGTAGTCTTGAGCCATTAAGAACTCTAGGAGCATGAGGAGGAATCTTTAAAAATGGGAGGGAAAATTTTGGGTACAACAGATGCCCCTTTTCAATCTTCTTAAACTTGAAGAGTTAGATTGGCATGCTCACCATTTATGATCTGAAGGTGGAAGAGGATTGAACACTTAAGTGCCCAGAAATTTGCCCTCACATGTGCACGAAGTAACATTATTGGTTGATTGTATTGCTTGAATGGGATTAAAGATTCCATTCAGAGAGGTGATAGAGTATTATCGGAGATGGTCTCATAGATGCCATCTAAAGTAACTGTCGATAGGAGTATCAGAATGAGTCTATGTTCGACTGTATATGAGAAGTATACTAGATTGAGTCTGTGTCGACTGTATCTAGAAGATGTGCTAGGGAGTTTCAGAATGAATCTTATGTCTCGATTTTATCTTAATGATTTTCTAGAATGATTCTATGTTTTGACTGTATCTATAAGAGGATCAGAATGAGTCTTTGCCCGACTGTATCTGAGATTCATATTAGAATGAGTCTACGCCTGCCGATATCTATAAGAGGATTAGAATAAGTTTTCGCCCAAATGTATCTGAGATCCGTATTAGAATGAGTCTATGCCTGACTGTATCTATAAGAGGATTAGAATGAGTTTTCGCCCGACTGTATCTGAGATCCATATTAGAATGAGTCTACGCCCGACTGTATCTATCAGATATACCAGAATGAATACTAGAATGGATCTATGTCTCAATCATATCTGAAATGTATCTGGAAGATGTACTGGATTGAATGTCAGAATGGATCTGTATCTTGATTGTATCTGAACGGTATCTGGAATGAGTATCATAATAAATCTATGCCTCGTTCATATCTGAACTGTATCTAGAACATGTACTAGAATAAGTATGCTCCTGATTGTATCCAAAGGAGTATTAGAATGAACCGTTGACTGATTGTATCTGAAGGATGATAAATTGTTGACAATATTTATCTGTTTGTGAACTAACCTGAAAAAACAAAATTAGTTTTATAAAATGTCATGATGTATGTAATGCATTGCATAATGATTCTTTCAAAATAAATGAGAATACTATATACATTTCGTATGCATATGCTATGTATAATACGGTGGGAGAACTGACTTAGTTTTTGTTTTATCGCAAATGTTGCAGATAATAAGAGTCACCACTGAATTTTATTTTATCCAATAAAGAAAGGGTGAAAATAACAGGAAAGACCTTGATAGATTTTGAGTTCGGGGGTAGATTATGAAAAGGGAAGGTGTTAACACCCTTTTCATCCGCAATTATCTACGGGTTCTTAATTGCTTAGCTCACTTTAAACTTGCTTTGTGTGTGTGTGTTTGAAAATATTTTGAAAACGCCAATGTAAGAAGAACTTTGTAATAACCCTTGTATCAGTCCTCAAGAGTGTATACAAAGCGTTTGCTTGAAAATATTTTGAAAGTGTTTGTGAAAATGTTTTGTTTTTTGTGAGCAAGCGATTAAAAGTTCTAACCCACTCAAGATCATTCTTATAATTTTCCTCGTCCTCTAGATAGTGCTATCCGTACCATTAGTTAGTAGGAAGCCCTATCGTTGGATGTAAAGGGACGGGCGAGGGTCTTCGTACGGTCATCGAAGGAAAATTGTAAGGATACCTTAGCAATTTCATAAGGGACTGTCATCGTTTTATTTGTAGGCAACTCGAGGGACTAAATCATTTCCGAAAGGCAATGTCGAAAGGATCATCGAGGGACTATGATCTTTTTGTATGATGACTTGATCGAGGGTCTTTGCTAAGGCATCCCTACGTTCGAGGGACATAATCGTCTTATTTTCCAAAGGCAACAAGGGAGGTTACCCTAGAGGTGCAAGTGTGCAAGTGTGTTGTATTAAGTTATTTTATCTTTTGAAGTTACGATTTTCTAACGTTTGTTTTTATCTTTCCATACAAACCCTAATTACTAACAGTAATAGCATAAAATATAGTAAAAGTGCAGAAAGTAAAAACAGAAAAGATAAACCTGAACCTATTACACGGCTTTGGGGCAGTTACATAATAGAAAGCGGAAAGTAAAAACCCTAAGCTATTACAACTCAGAAAACAATTACATAATAATGAAAAAGGAAAGCGAGAAATCTAAGCTATTACAAATTGCGAACCCTATAGACTTTGTCTATCAAAATAAAGTAAAATTGAAATAGAGGAAAGAAGAAATATTTTTGATGATTTTTATGGAAAAGATTTTTTTAATGATGATTAAAATAAACCTAAAAACTAATTAATTTTAATTAAAAAAGATAGTTGATTAATTAAATTAATAAAAAGGGTTAATGATGAAAAACCTATAAATTAATTAATTTTATTTAAGAAAAAAAGTTAATTAAAAAAGGTTAATTAAAAGAAACTAAAACCTAATTAGGGTTTGTAAAAAGGTTTTGTGGTTAAGTGAATTTAGGGTTTAAGGGAGAAATTAAGGAAAAAACAAAGTTAAAAAAACAAACTGCCAGGGGTGGGAGTTAAATCCACGTCCTTTGCCTTTTCTCCCATAGACCCTGCCATTGCGCTAGGCGCGCGCCTGTGTTGGGAGAATAGGATCACCGTGCTATTAGTAAACCTGCAGGAATTGGAAAATTATGAAAAATAAGTGTCAAAAGCAGGGATCGAACCCACGCCTTATTATACAAATGTCTTAATGCGCTCTCACTTGCCACTGGGGTGACTATACATCCTGTAACATTGGTGAAACGAATTAAACATATAATAAACCCACTGAACCGAATAAGCGCCAGAGCCCTAGCTCCGGTCGTCTTCTCCGGCGACTGTGTTTCTTTGACCTATAAAATAGCAAACATTAGAGGTTCAGTGGTACCCTACCCTCATAATTTGGGCATTGCAATTTCATTGGAACTATTATTTTTGGCTGATTCACGCTGTATAATGAGATATGGCCAGAATAAAGTGGATCGGTGCAAACATGGTGATGCACAATTCCGGTAGCATAGGACTCATGCGATGGTCTAAGCCTGCATAAATACATCTCACGAACACATTAGTAAAATTAACACATGTTAAAACACAAGGAAAACAGAAATGTAGGTTTCATGCAATGATGGAAAACCGACGCGACATGTATGCTTGTTTCATGCTCTTTGGATCATCACAAATGATCCAACCTTATCCTATAATGTTTCTGGAAGTGAATGGAATATATTTTTGACCTTGAGGGAGGATTGAGGCTAGGGTTTCAATTTGCCCTAGTTAGGATGATTTTTGAGATTTTGGAATAAACTCTTTCTTCAAGGATTTCGTGTGGCTTGATGTCTTAAATAGTATGGAGATATAGTGAGGAAATTAGGTCAAACATGTTGGGCTTGGATCTTGTAAGAAAAGCCTTGACTTTTATCTAATTTATTTTTAATTTTACATAAATAGAATAAAAATCCAAGGGGTATATAAGTAAGTTCAGAGGTTCATGTTGAGGCCTATAACACGCATGGATCTTGAAATATCAATCCATTAGCCCAAAATTCCAAGTTTGATCACTTTAGGTTTCATGCATTTTCTCAAAATTTCACAGCTTACACCAATCATAACTCTCTCAATTTTTATCATTTGAAGGTGATCTTGGACTTTTGGAAAGCTCAAGATGTCTTCTACAATCTCTATCATTTTTGTATTTGAAGACTTTATTTTGATGAAAGTTGCCTTGACAAAAAGTATCTATTTGTTGACTTTTGAAATGACCTATAATGTTTTGGCCCATATCTCTCGAATGAAGCATTTTTTGGACTTGAACTTAGAGAGACAAAGTTGTAGAGAATTAAATTTCCTTCAAAATGAGATTTGATTGCGTAAAATTTGATGAAGCATGTGAAAGTTGTACTTGGTCAAAGTTCAGTTGACTTCTCCTTAAGAAAATTCTAATTTAGCAACTTTTGACTTTTGATGAATTGAGAATCTTCTTGATGAATCATGATCAACCCTTGATCAAATGATGAATATGACTTCAAAATCTTGATGTTGATCAAAAATCTTGAAGTTTGACTATATATTGGCCATAATTGATTTTTTGTTCAATACAAATTTTCAGTCATTTGAACAATTGACTGAACAAACTTGTGATGTAAGACTTGAAACTTGTCATGAGCAACCCGTTTTTCTAATTCATGTTTGAAACTAATAATTTCTAATAATTTTTAATAAATACACATTGACAAATAATAAAATAATTTTTAATATCATTTTATAATTAAAATGTTTAATTTATTTGTTATTTTAATAACTACACCCATCTTTTTGGCAAAAAGTAAAAGAAAATTAGAAAACAAACATAATGGACTAATGGTTATGGTTATGGAGCTGCATCCTCAACCCTGATTCCTCTCCTAAATTTAGCCACGCTTTCTTCTGCATCATCACAATGAGCCACGCTCTCTATCAGGTCCACAATGATCCTTTAGATCTCACATCACAATCCATGTCGGTTAGTTTTTTTTTTCCTCTTTCACTTTTCTGCAATTATGTTATTATTATTGAAATCAATTGTCATTTCTTATAAAATTTCAAATTTTTTTTATCATTGCATTATTACTTTATGTTTTTGTGTATTCCGTTTGGATCATACATTGCAATTATATATTCATCTGAAATTTTTGTGTTTGGTTTATTGGATTAAACTATTTTGAAATCAATCACAAGAAGTGGAAAAAAAAATTAGGTTTTGGAAATTTATGGTGCACAGACACAATAATTTGAAGCACGGACATCAGACACGACATTGACACGGACAAGGACACAGACAAGCCTTTTTCAAGGTGAATAAAACAATTAATGACAATGATTTTCCTTGTAAAAATTTTTGGTAGGTTATACCAACCATGGAGGCGCCTACCGCTGACGTGGACCTTTCGCCGGAGAAGATTGAAAATGAGAGAGAGGGAGGTCCAATGTTCCATTGTGATTTACATGATACAGAAATAGTTCACAAGCTTGCTCAGATGTTTTTGCCAGGTTTAGCCTCAGCTTGTGTTGATAACACAACTGGAGATCCCTTTAACACTGCTGGTTCAGTTGCGGATGATTTGAGGAAAGAAATGATTGATTATCTTACACAAAGAAGTGAGTCGTTTGTTGCTGAGACTGTTATCTTTGACGATGGTGCGGATGGTGAAGTCTCGGATCATCCTTTCGATATTATTTCTTTTTTTGTGGATGACTTTGTTAATTCGAAGAGGAATTTGTTGAGTCAGGTTTCAGGATGGCTGTTGAGTGATAATAGAGAAGATAACATAGATGATTTTGTTCAGGAGATGGAAACGAAGGGTTTTTGGTTGTTGGATAGAAGAGAAAAAGTTGCTGAAAATTTGCTTAGGAATGTTGATTTCAAGAACTCGTTTCATTGTAGCATGAGTTTTATTAACGCGGAAGAGCTTGCCAACCATGTTGATAATTGCAATTTCAAATCTGTGATCTGCCGTAATGAGGGATGCAATGCGAGGTTTAGCGCTGTTTATTTGAAGGAGCATGATTCAGAATGTCCTTTTAAGATAATTCCATGTGAGCAGAAGTGTACGGATAACATTATGAGACGTGACATGGATAGGCACTGCATAACTGTTTGTCCGATGAAGCTTGTGAATTGTCCTTTCTATGCAGTCGGTTGTCGATCGGCCATTGCACAATGTAGCGTTGGAAAACATTGCTCAGATGATCTTCAATCCCACTTATTGCACTTGCTTAAAGGGATCCACAAGGATGCATCTGGCGGAGATCTTAGTCGACGAGTAGAGCGAATTTTACAGGTTAGTCAATAATAACCATGGGAAGATAGGATATTTTTGGTTTAACCAAAACCTTGCGTGACTGAAATTTGGTTCCTTTAAGCCAACTCAATTGGTAGCTTTGCAGGGACTTGGGTTCGAACCCGCGACACCCCACTTATTCATCTTTAAAGGATGAATTCAATCTGATCATTTGTTTGTTGTGTTTAAAAACATTATATATACTTGAAACGATTTCCAATTTAACAATGTACATTAATTTGTTGTAGGGTTGACGTTATGTAGACACAATTTAAAAAGGATCCGTGATTGTAATCCGTTGATAATTTGTCAAAATAATGTTTTAGGTATTAATAAGGTCGTGCTTATTTGAAACTTTAACTACTTATGAGTGTATTTTATTATGTTTGGATATTTATGAAATTCCTCAAGAATTCTGCTTCAGATGGCAGATTCAATCACGTTCTCAATTTCTGTTGAATTTCCTTTATGTATGACAGGCATCATCAAGCAATAGGTTAGCAGAAGCTCGCGATGTTAGATCTCTAAAAGTTATTGTCAGAGATCTTGAAGCTAAGTTAGGGCCTTTGGAAGTCAGTACCATAGAGAAAACTAAAGCAGAACCAGTTGCAAAGAATGAAAATAGTGAAGACATTGGCACCGAAACAAAGGGTGGTGCACAAGCTTCAACTTCATAAGATAAAGCTGAAGTGAATGCTACACTGAATAAGAATGGTGCAGAGAATGTGGTGAATAGTGAAGATAGTGAGCATAAGGAAAATGGAAAAAAAAGGGTAATGCAGAGAATGAATGAGGAACAAGGATATTAGAAATGATAACTTGTAGGATGACATACAAATTCTTAGTTGAGAAGCTTTGTGGTATGTTCAGTTTCTTTATTTTGGTGAGATATGTTAATTTTTTCTTATTTGTTAAGCTTTTGCATCATTCATATTAGTACCCCTTTTTGTTCCATGATTGTACATTTCCTTTGGATATTTGTTCAATTATATCAAAGCAACGAGTCATATGCTCAAGGTAGTCAGAATCGGGATCCTACATAGGATTGGGGAGGGGTCACAGGATCGTGAGTCGGGGATCGTAACATGAACCTTAAGATCCTATCAATTTTACAAACTTATGTATATTGCATAAATTTATTCGTTAGGTGTATTGGGAAGGATTTCAGAGATTAATTAGAATTAAAGAGCAGAGTTAAATGGGGGCAGAGTACAACAAAAATAAAAAATGAACAGAAACAGTAAAAATGTATAGTTTCTATGTGTTTAGATGGCGATCTCACTTTTCCTACCAAAATACGAGTTTTCCTTCGGTAGAATCGTCAGATTTAGCATAATTGTAGAATTGGACGATCCTAGGATTGTGATTCTGACTACCATGCATATCTAAATGTGTATGGGTAATACTGCTATGATTAAGCGATTAATTGTGATTGTTGGATGAATATGTCATTTATTTCTAACAAACATGTATTTAATGTGCTTTACAATTGGGTTGTGTACTAAATGCCTATTTGTTTCAATGTCACGCTTCACATGGTTTGACTCTTTGTTGTTTGTGTGACACTTGTGAGAACACATATTTTACAGGTCTTAGTGAAGTTAAAAATTTGAAGGTAAAGTATTTTCTTCATTATAAAATCTTAACCAATGATTTTTAGAAAAAGAGTCTTATACTATTTGGTTGGATTTCATTAAAAAAATGTTTGACTTGTTGATGTTGTAGTGTAAAATGTGGCACTTACGTCTTTATGTATTTTCAATAGTTGAATGTTGATGTTTGATACGCAGTGATGAAAATTGTATCGGTATATATATTCTCGTGAAGGTCGTAGGAGGCGACTTGAGGATTCCCAATTTCTCTTTTATCAAATCAATTGCACATTTATTAGATGTATCACCCTTCAATTGGAAATTTCTCCTTTCTCAAGGATAAGTCGCCCGACGTAGGAATTGAGAAGTAACGTGTCCTCACCTTGTAACGACATAGAAGAAGTCATGTGGGAAATGGGTTATGCTCTTATTAATACTAGGAGATAAACTGTCTATTCCTTTAGTGGTTGTTATTTCCATGTGACTATTGGATCCATGTCCAATGAGGCTCTAAATTTAATAGAAAAATACACGCATATAGAGTTTTTCATCCTACGTGAGCTAGCTCTCAACCTCACACCAAATTTTAAAGTTGGGAACCCTTAATCACTAAGGATTCTCAAGGGTGAGAAATTCTCAAAAGTCCTAGATCTAGTATAGAAAATGAGTTAAGCAAGAGGATGATGACAGAGCTGTCCACCACATGCTCAACACCATCATAGGAAGATTCGTTGGGGGCAATGAAACCACTTCCGCCCGAAAGAGGATCAACACCATCATAGGAAGATTCGTTGGGGGCAATGAAACCACTTCCGCCCGAAAGAGGATCGATCACCAAATCCTTACCCTTGAGGGTTCACCTACTGACACTAGCTTAAATGGACTATAATTCACAGAATCTGAGACCACCTTCTCTGAAAAAGACGCATCGGACATTCATCCACACAATGATGATCCCATAGTTATAACCGTTTAATGTGACAACTGTGAAGTTAAAAAAGTATTGATTGATTAAGGGAGCTCCACAGACATCCTCTATTGGGATGCATTTGAGAGTTGATGGATTATTTAACAAGCGTATTAAATTCTGGTTAAGTAATAATATTTATAATAAATTCGTCTCTGTAGAGATTGCTTGATTGCAACATGACAATACCATTGTACTGAAATTACTAAGTTGGAGAATTTTCATAGAAGTTTGGTTTTAAAAAAAAAAAGATAATAAAAAGGAAAGTTATCAATGATTAAAACGACAAAACATTTATCAAATATTTTATTTGTTCCTGTTTGGTAATTGCATCTATTTCCTTGAAGTGTTCTTCTAAGTATTATGGTAAATTAACAAAATAGCTATACCCAATTCCTTAGTGTATAGTCCTCTATTTTAAGAACCATGTAATCTCTTAGGTGAATTCGAAATAAAAACATATTTTATTGTGCATTACTTTCTATATCACAAAATTATAATTTTTTATTTCTAAAGTAATTACTAATTTTGAACAGTTAAATTAGACCATATTTTAAAAGTTAGGATCAATAATCATTCAAAATCTAGATCCATTCATATATTTATAAATATATAAAAAACATTAAGAACATATATGACTTAATGATATTAGAATTGAAAATTAATATAATAGTACTCAGTCAATTACATGATTCTAATAGATCAAAATAAATTCATCTCAAAAGGCATAATTTAAGAAAAATTAGCCACTCATAATAAAATTATTCATAGCAACAAATTTAAAATAAAAATATATGAATTTGGATATGAAAATTGGTCTTCAATGGATAAAAACCTTCGATCCTTGCTTCTAAAATCCTTGCGATATAAATTGCTCTAAAAAACCTCCAACCTAAAGATTCTGCATATTGTTCCTTTTATAATGGAAAAAACATGCGTCCAAATCGCACCATGAATCAAATCAATCGCATCACAGTGTTTTGAGTAGCTAGCTCTTTTTGTTAGCTTTTATTTATCGTTGGTCTCACCTCAATAGACGTTAAGAAACTCAAGATATGATCAAATTACTAGACAAATGTCATGATGTAAAATGGTTAAAAATTCACAACTTTCTCATTTGTCTCAAATATTTTCAAAATTCATCTTTAAACGATGCATTTCTCCTTTAAATACTACTAAAAACAAGAAAATTACTGATAAAATACCTTGATGACGGATTGTCATCACAGTCTCAAACTTGAACTGTTACTTGGTGTCAAGAAACCTGCTTGCAGACTAAATTGTTTTACATCTAAATAGCATTCTTACCATGTGGAACCTTGTTTTGCAGGTTGATAATAAAGGAAGTTCCATTAAAGACAAACATGTTTTTGATGATGACAACTAGTCTTTGATGTCAACAACTAAAGTCAAGCCTAAAGTGGTTAAAGATGCAACCAAATCAATAAAGTTTGATAAGTTGGATGCTCTGATGATGACATCTAAGATAAATATAACTAAAGTATCATCTCAAAGTAAAGTTCAAGCAAGTGTCCACAATATTGAAGCATCTGACAAGACTTGAAGTATGTGAAAGTCTGCCCAAATGCGTCAGAGTGAATATATATTGTAAAAGCATTTTGTGTTGGAACAAAAACAATTTTTGCTCATAGTCCTTGGGTTTTGATGATAACAAAAGTACTTCAGAAAAAAAGGTATAGTAATGTTTGATTATGTGTGCAGGTTCATTAAAGCTAGTTATTAACTTGATTCTGACCCAATTAATTAGCTTGTAAAGAAGAAACATGAAATTTAGATTCCAAAGGATCAGAATCTGACTTTCTAATAGAACCTCAAGAGCCATATGTTTTCAGCTTTTGATGATCAAATAGAAACTCAGTTGCAACATTGACTTTGCCTCTAATAATTCAAACATAACTTCAAGCGCTTTGCGGGAAACATAGTACAAAACTCTTTTGTCCGTACTATGTGCAAACAACTAGAATTATGGAAAAAGTCAAATAGAGGTTATAACATAAGGCTCAAGGATAATTGATATGATTTCTTCAATCTACCACTCTATGCCTATGGACGCCTTACTTGAGAAAAACACAAAGGATAAAGAGATTATTTAGAAGATGAAGATCATCATCGTACCAACTCCAACGTCTCTCTCTTGGAAACTGCTTCTTCAGCAAAGACACTTGTGCAAGCAAATTCCAACATCTCTTTTTGTTCCCTCTATATAAGGATCTGAAGATTCAAAACAATTAACAACAAGAACAATAAGAAGCTCTAATTTATTATATATAGTTATTTATTGCACATAGACTTGAGAGTTTCTTACACTTGTATATCTTAGAAATATCAAGAAAGGTTTTTACGTGTGTTGGTTTAATTGTAGCTCTGATTGTATATCAAGTACATCTTGTTGTAAATCCCAAACAAATTGTTTAGTATTTGTAAAAGTCTCAGAATGTGTCTGAGCTAGAAAGGCTCAGGTCGAGTGTTTGAGCAAAGAAGTCCTAGACTGGTAGTTTAGACAAGGAAGACTCTTTTAAGTGTGATTGAGCAAGAAGTCATGGATTGTGTGTTTGAGCAAGGAAGTCTCTTTGTAGTGTGATTGAGCAAGGAAGTCCTGAGCAGTTGGTTTAGGAAAGAAGTCTATTTCTGGTGAGATTGAGTAGGGAGTCTTGGACGGATGTGTCTAAGCAAATTATAATCAGGTTCTTATTATAGTAAAAAGATCTTGTGTGGCAAGGGAACTGGACTACTCTCTTTATAGAGGAATCGGGATAATCTTTGTGTGTGATTTACTTATTGCTTCCTCACTTTAAATATTCCACTACTGCATACTTTAGCTTAGAATATGAACTTGGTGAGATTCAGAAGCTGATCTTTTAAAAAAGCATAAGTTATCTAATACACAATTCAACCCCTGCTTCTTGTACTTTTTTCTCACCTTCACTTTTTATTTCTCTTAAAGTATAGGGCTAATCACATACACACATAAACAAGTTTCCAAACTTTTTTACCAAGAAAATACTTTCAAAAATGCCTAGCAGTAGTGTCAGGTGAGTTAAGAGCTGTTAGAAAAGCTTTGACCAAGGGGTAAGAAGAACTGAAAGCACTTCTCACT